CGGATCCAACCGGTGACGAAAGCTATAACTAGTATAAGGGCTAGGTTTGTCACACTCTGAACTGCAAGCTCCGAGGAAATTGACATTTCTACAGCGTATAATTCCAGGTAACCTAATTTCAGATTTTGAACTTGCGTGTTTGCTAGATTATACCAGTCACAAACAGCTGTCGAAAAGTATTGGAGTTATTTTGTAAACGAGAAACTTTAAAAAATCGTAGAAAAAGTTGCTAAAACAAGTGAAGAATATGTTCACACAATTGCACAATTATAAACAATTACAGCTTTTAATGCTCTTGCATGTAAAAGATGATTGACAATTAATGGACAGACCGTGCAATTCATAACCATATGGAAGAACCTGTTTGGAGTATTCTCCCCGGTTCGCACTGCAAATAGCTAGAATGACATCTCAAGAAACAGGGGGCATAATGAAGTTATTCGCGAGGAAATGGATGCCTGAAAAGAGTCAAAGGAAATGCGAGTGAAGGAGAAGGAGTATTTTAAGAAGCATATATATTGATAAGAAACTATCGCAACAAAGCGCTTTGAAAACTCGCTTGTTTTTTTAAAGCAAACACATTAATTGCCACCCGAGCATGTAAACATGTCTCAGAAAATTAAATGTACAATGGAACTGTCAACAGAAGTTGATGACTGTTTAAAATCCCAGAGTACAATTCAAAATTTAAATGACTCCATTTTTTGCTCATTACTATATCTAATTTGCATTGGATCTGTTCAGGCAAAGTGAGATACGACGATTCAACAAGGTCCTAAAATTGTATGTGATAAGAATAGACTTGCCTATTTACAAAGTTGAAAGGTGACTTCTCTCTTTCAGAAAAAAATCCCAAACTTCATCCAAAATGCCTGCAAAATTTGCCATCAATGGGTAAGATTCATTGAGTTTTGAGGCTTTTACGTCACCTACGTGATTTTCAATGCATTGTGGGATTAGCGCATGACGTTTTCCACTAAATAAGGACTTGTCCGGGGCTGATCACTTTACAACAACGGATTCCTGGCTGCTTTACGCGCTTGATATTCACACTTGATWCTCACCCTAGAAAAACGAGACGCTAGCTTCTTAGCTTTGTGCACTCTATTTGCAATCTATTTATATCTGCTTTCCAAGCAAGTGATATATGATATCGATCAAATTCAATCTTCAAATTTTAGATATGGTCGCATCGGACGATTGATCTGTCGAACTAGTTTGGATCGAGACGACGTTCAAATTGTTGCAATTAATGATCCTTTTCTGACGCCCAAACTTGCGGTAAGCATAATGTATTAGTCAAGATGTATGAATAAAGGAATGAATGGATGGATGGGATGGGATGAGATGTGATTGGGTGGGGTGGAATAGGATGGGATTGGATTGGATAGGAAGGGATGGGATAGGATGAGATGCGATGGGGTGGGGTGGAATAGGATGGGATTGGATTGGATAGGAAGGGATGGGATAGGATGAGATGCGATGGGGTGGGGTGGAATGGGGTAGGGTAGTGTGGAATGGGATACGATGAGGTGGGATGGTATGAGATGCGATGGGGTGGGTGGGATGGGATGGGATGGGATAAGATGGGCGAGCAGAGGGATGGATTACGAATGCTGGATGACTAAATACACGAATAAATGGATGATTTTGTGAAAAAATAAGTGTCCAAAAGACTATTAATAGTAAATTTATGCTRTATCTCTGCATCAGGCTTATTTATTCAAGTATGACTCCACGCACGGYACGTTTGAGGGCAAAGTCGAAGAAAGTGACGATAAAATATTCATCAATGGAATCGAGATCGCCGTGTACGCCTTCAAGGACCCTGCCAAAATCCCATGGGAGGATCACAACCTGGACTTTGTGGTGGAATCGTCTGGTATCACGACCTATAGTCAAGTCAGCACCCATCTAAAACGTGGTGCGAAGAAGGTTGTGGTGGCTGCACCGTCTGATGAYATTCCAATGTTTGTGATGGGAGTCAACAATCACAAGTATGATCCAAGCATGAAAATTGTGAGGTGAGTTAAATYAATATTTTATTATTCCAGGAAATTCCTTGCTGTATTGACTTTGCCCTTGGCATCAGTTACCCTTAATATGATTTGGACATTGTAATTGGATTGCTATCGATGCAATACGGCATCTCCTTCGCCTTCTTCTTCCCGTTTTCCTTTGCCATCACCACTGCCATATTACCTTCACCATTGAAGTTACCTTAATTGACTTTGTCGTCGGCCGTGCTTTAGTACCATCGCTGTTGTAGTTGTCTTTGCCTTTGTTATCGGCACTGCAATATTCCTAATGCAATTGCAATTGTTTTTGCCTCTCATGTCATCGCGCTTGCATTACCATCGCCATCGGCCTTGCAGTTGTATTTGCCTTTGTTATAGCCCTTGCCCTATTATAATCGGTATTGCGGTTGCCTTTTTCATCGCTCTTACCTTAGTACCATCGACATTGCAGTTGTCTTTGCCTCTGTCATCGCCCTTGCCTTTTACAATCTCCATTGCAGTTGTCTTTGCCTTTGTTATAGCCCTTGCCTTATTATAATCGGCATTGCGGTTGCCTTTGTCATGGCTCTTACCTTAGTACCATCGTTATTGCAGCTGCCTTTGCCTTTGTTATCGGCACTGCAATATTCCTGATGCAATTGCAATTGCCTTTGTCATTGCCCTTGCCTTTTACAATCGGCATTGCGGTTGCCTTTGTCATTGCCCTTGCCTTTTACAATCTCCATTGCAGTTGCATGCCATTGCTTTGATCACTATCGTATTACCTGACATTTCCATTGCCATTTTTCATGTCCACCATTACCAATGCACTGATTATTTTTACCTCACTTCAGTAACGCATCTTGTACCACCAACTGTCTTGCGCCCTTGGCAAAAGTACTCAACGAAAACTTCGGTATTGTCGAGGGTTTGATCTCATCCATACACGCCTACACAGGGCCCCAGAAAACTTTGGATGGAGTAAGCGAAAGGGTTAGTACAAACGTGATATCTATATAGTTGTCTCAGACAAGTCATTTCAATGCTTAAAAGAATCAAAACCAACTGCTGTATCTTGCGAGACGAAGCAACATTTTAGATGGACACGAAAATTGGGGATTCGTATTTCTTAAAGTGATCGCAAATCGTCTTATATCCTTTCAACTTGTACAGAAACATCTTTAATTAAGTACCCCACAGGTACTATCAATTTATAATCTATTGTATGCTTGACGCATTTAAACGTATGTAATAACACAATAACACGAGCGCGCGCTGCATTGTGGCTGTTTGGGATTCTTTAAATTCGGTAACAAAAAGGCATACTATCAAAAGATGGCTCTGTCGGATGATTTCAAGATCAAAGACGTCTCAATTATATGAATTAAAGAGCTTTCGATTTGAGTCTATCTAATATATTTATCTAGCCCGTTGGCGTCTCTAATCCTCTCCGCTCTTTATTATAATGTTGGACGTCTTGTCTTCCTCTATAAGACCAAGTTAAGGCATCCCCAAAGGGCAAAATGAAGTATTACTATTGCTCAATTTCATTGCTTTATTTTTCTACTTTAGAAATCCATTCGAGAAGGTCGAGGAGCTCATCAAAATATAATTCCTACAACCACCAAGGCTGCTAAGGCAATCGGCAAAGTGTTRCCAGAACTGAACGGAAAGTTGTCAGGAATGGCATTCCGTGTTCCGGTTCCTGATATTTCCGTCTTGGACTTAACCGTGCGATTTGAGAAATCGGTACGTAAAACATGCTACGTATAACGTACGTTAAATCATTTTACGCGTAGTTAGACTCGCAGGTGCAAAAAAAAGCCAATTGTCAAGTGTTTATTAATGGATTTCGTCGATGAAAGCATCAATGTTAGTGAATAATATAGCGTTTTATTTGGGCGTTTGCTTACGTATAAAATAGAGGATTCGCTATACGGAAAGGCTAGCTCCTTACGATTCTGCTTATACTTCCGTCATTGTTGTTATTCCAGAGCTCTATATAATGAATCATACAAGCTCTAATTTTCTGACAATTGCGCTTATGCTTTCGTATGAAAAATACGTGAATCCAACGTTTTTTTATTCTTTTTGCAGACCAATATGGAGGAAATTAAAAAAGCTGTTAAAAAAGCATCAGAAAATGAATTCAAAGGTTATCTTGGTTATACGGAAGACCCTGTCGTGTCTACTGACTTTATTGGCTCCAAAATCACCAGTACGTTTGACGGAACGGCGGGGGTTGAATTGAATGATAATTTCTTCAAGCTGCTGTCATGGTACGTAATGCTCACCTAATGAGATAACGTAAATTTTATTTGATTTAAAGTGATGTACGTAATTTTTATTTGATTTAACGTAATGTACCTTCGTGTAACGTAACTTCTCCTAATGCTTACGAAACAGTTAGAGCGGATTTCGTATGAGTGGGAAACGGACGGTACTGTACTGTGTCCGTAATCGTACTGTAACCAAATTCTAGTGCCCCATTGTTTCACCAAAATTCTACAGGCCAGGTGCGGTAACTGTGCGGTAACCATGCGGTAACGGTGTCCCACTCATACGAAATCCGCTCTATTAGTCTTACGTAACTACGCTAAACATCACAGCGTAAAGTAACGTATAGTAAACATTTACGGACATAACGTAACGTAGAGTCACTGCGTAAATTCAAGTAACGCATACTACTTCATTTTAATATACTTAGAACAAGTGGTTAATCTTGCGCAATCATGATAYGGCSATTTGACGCAATGCGTGCGATTTTACGTTGGGTGCTCAATTTAACGTACGTAAGCGTGATTTGACGTAAGGTATCCTTGCTTTCAGGTACGATAACGAATATGGCTACAGCAACCGTGTCGTAGAGCTCATGGCGTACATTTACTCACGCGACAAGGAACAGTAATTTATCATTTACGTAGCATCGTTACGTAATAATRCAACCATACGCATGCACATACTGCTGTTTCCGAAATGTTAACAAAAAAAAGCGCTTCAATTCCGAAAGGAATTGTGGGATATCCTGCTGGAAAAGAAGTTTGTCGAAGCGAGATGTCACTAAAGGACTTATGTTGATGTTGGCGATTGCTGACAAAAAGATTRTAATCAAGTTTTCTGCAGAGTTATAGAACWACGAAACCTGATCATAATCATCTTCAATCTTTTCCATATAAAGGATTCAATAACATTTTGAAAACAGCAGTAAATTACCGCATTTTTSAATAGTAGAAAAGAAAGTCTATGTCCAAGACCACATACTACTATTAAGAGAGCCATGGTCCACCAGCATCCCTTTTCAGCCTTTGTTGATATGTTTTTAAATAGAAACACGTCGTAATATAAGTAAAAACTTACTTTATTATCCCTTTATACTATATGAATAGAGAGATATTGTAAGATTTGACCTTAAAACCAATGGATGGAAACGGATTGCGAAAGGATATTTGAAGTCACCTCATTTTTAAAAAAGAAAAAAATCTAAAGCAAGAGTTCATTGAATGCTGGTGAATCATGCCCCTTAATTTAGACTCGTAAATTTCGGGCTCCCTGTGGATAAAATAGGCAAGAAAGTGGACTAGCTCCTTACTGATTGCACACGAAGCCCGAAAGAGACGACTTCGGAGGAGGCTAATATGACAGAGGATGGACRTAGSCTGCAAAAGGTCTGCAAACTCGTTTGCWGAAAAATCATTTCTTATTTATGRTGTAGATTAATTACGCGAGCTGTGTTATTGCTTTACGCAAGCTGGCTTTACGTAACACTTATGAAATATTAACGTAAGCGTTTTCGATCTAGCTGATCTTCAGACGTCGGACTTTTTGAAGATGATCAAGATACATCGATCGAAAACACATTAGTTTAAAGTCATTTGAATATTACTTTTATTGAATTGATACAGTTTTGAAATTCCCGTCTAATTCCCGTCTAATTCCCGTCTAATTCTCGTCTAAATTTCCGTCTAAGAGCGATTGTTTGGCCGCTCAATGGACGTTGAATAGAGTGCAGATACAGTATTGGAAATTCTTAGTTTGGTCGCTCAATAGAGTGTGATCGCTTTATAGAGGTACAACTGCAATAATGCATGTTCATATAGTATTTTATAGTTACGTACCTCGTTACGTTACGTTACGTAACTACGTGAGCTTAATGACTTTTTCTACATTGACATTTTCATATTTTTTCTTTTTCTTCTAACAATTTCCAGAGAAATTCATTTTTGACAAAGATAAATTTATTTATAAGTAAGCCATGGCCAGAAACAGTGCCTGAGACGTATTGCAAAAAGACTACGTTGTTCTGAAAATATGAATCAGACTCTTTTCGAACCGTTTACGTCGAATGGGTTGTGCGTTTCCATGAGCGGGCTTTTGAATATTTATACGTTTAARACTTGTCATGAGATGTAAATATGTAATACAGAAGAAGATTTAACGCTGTTAGTTTCCGTGAACGCCTAGTGCGTTTTAAACTCTAAAATACGTAAGGTTTACACGTTTTTGAAACGTTTACGTGTGGAGTTGAGCGCGTTTGATAACAAATTGAATATGATGAATTGAGAATAATGTGTCTAACGTAAAATCTTAATTTATGCGCGTACAAATGTTCGCGTTACGTCTACGCTTAACGTTACGTTTACATATACAATTGTGCGCAAGGGGATACCATACGGTTAAAGATCTCATGAATATGGATTGTCGATTKAAGAAAACAAYGGAAYCGGAAAATAGAAGATATYAGAGTCGTTACAYTTAACCCGTGAGGGGTTAACTAAATCAGGGGGGTGGATGTACATTGGTGCAACGGCTACCTCTCTATAATGACGCAATTATTAGCTGTTTTGAATGAATAGTGCAACAAAGTGTACGATCTTAGTACGGTCGAGTGCAAAAACGCTATAGCTAAAACAATAGTAGGTCGTCAGACTCTCACGAAGTCACAGGGGCGGATAGAGGGGTGGGGGGGTGAATTGGG